GTTCTGGTACGTTTCATGATCTTATTATCTTTCTGATTTACTTCTTAAACGTAATTTTATGTTTGGCTGCTACTCTGTTTCGTTTCTGCAAAGCGCTCCCAGTCCTTTTAACTTGGCTACCGAGCTCGTTCCTGCCTTGTTTGCTCGGGCCCTTTGGGGACCCGCGGTGCAACTTCAGCGCCCTCGTTCCAGGATCGTGTGGAGACTCTTGGTCTTCTGAAGTGATGCTTTCATTCAACAAAGTGGTGCTGTTGTGCCAGATGAAGACCCTCAAGGAGGATAAAGGGAGAGAAAGCTGAAATAAGCAAGAGAGAGATCTCCCTTTTTGAAAAACAGGAACAAGTTTTACGTGTTTGTTCCTATGTGTTAGAGCTTTTTTGCATGTTAGAAGGATTCCTTCCAAGCAGTAGTATAGGTATGAGTGTTTTATCTTCAATTAAATGTGTACATAGAAGATAAAATGGAGTGCTTTGCATCTTTGTGTATGTCAGTCATCTTTAGTAATCATGGCATTAAAACAATTTATTCTGCTATCATGTTGCAGATATTAAGATAACACTGTGTTGCTCTTAAGTTAAAATACTTGATGAATGCAGAGTGATGCTGGAATGATGCTGTGCAATGGCTGGAAAACTAATTTCTGTAACAGCCTCAAAAATAATGTTGCATAGTACCATTTTTAAAAATTTGTTTTTCTGTTTAATTAGTGATGTGTGTACCATCATTATTGATACATGTCTCACTTATTTCTTAGGTTTACAAAAGATACTGCCAGGTTCAAGGATGAATTAGATATTATGAAGTTCATTTGCAAAGATTTTTGGACAACTGTATTCAAAAAACAAATAGATAACCTAAGGACTAATCATCAGGTACTAATGCTGTAGAATAAGATTTAACTTACAAAATCAATATGACTTTTGAATTGCTATTTCATTTTTGTTTTTCTTGGTCTGGAATGAATTACCTGATAAGAAACCCGAAATGCTCTTATTTGTTTTGTTTAAAAAGCAGGGTTTTGTAATATTCATGTAGCTTCAGAATACAATGTAATGATTGCTAGTGATGTCTTTATTGCCACTCCGTTTGAAAAGACTCAGTGCTTTGAATTTCATATGCACTGTTGCAGAGTTACATAGAGGGCAGGAGTGGTTACAGTTGATTAACATTTAAACAAGAACATTTTTATGTATCTCTAAATGTTAGTAGAAAACTAATGAAAAAGTGATGTTGCTGTCTTAACATCTATTTAAATAGAATGGCTGCCTTGAAGTAATTTTTTTATTTTGAAGAATATTTACAGTTTTCAGCAGTTGAGACACCTCACTCTAGTGAACATACTTGTGTAAGAAACAGCTGAAAAAATTCTCAAATTTGCATGTTGGTGACATTGTGCTGTATCCATCTCCTTGTCTATATCAACAGCTACAGTTCTTAAAGCAAGATCAAAATAATTTAAGGAGCCATTTTACTAGAGTAAAAAAGCTTTTTCCTATTGAAGACTTGGTTATCTTTTGACCATTTTACTTTTGTGTCCAATTAGTAAGAAGATTTGTACAAAGATTGTGCCAAATAAAGTAGGTTTTATTTTTCAGTGATTTGTTTATGAAGTAATAACTCTAACAGATAATAATTACCTTAGAAATCTCTTTTTTTAATTCAAAGAAAGCTGCAGTATTGAGCTTAAGATTTTAATTGTATATACAAACTTCATTTAAGTTCAGGGGTTATGAAATTCCAAAGTAGCACAGTCATTAACAAAGAAATTAAAATGACAGGTGTAGGTAAAGCTATACTATGTTCAGAAATTATTAAGTAATTTATTTATTATTATATTTTTATTATACTAATTTATTATTGTTACACAAAATTGTAATGTAGAAAACACCAGACTTTTAATTCTATCGTTTGCTAGGTGTGTTACCTGTACTGCTGTTAAGGAAGATAATTCCCACTGAATTTGAGAATAAGAGTAGTGAATTGCATACCAGATGAAGATTGAGATTTGAATGTAAAAACCAGTATGCATTTGATATATGGCTAAAGACTCTCTGGCATAGAACTACTGTTTCTGAGCACCAGAAGGACTTTTCCAAGAAATGTACATAAACGTTTTTTAGAGATCATATTATTATCTAGGAGTTTTGTTGTAAACTCATAATTAAGTACCTTTTGGTTTGATATTCCTTGCGAGTATATAATACAATTTGAACTTAAATCACATATGCCTTAATCTAAAATTTCATTTTTCAGCCTAAGAATAAAGATAAATGAAGACAATAAAAACATATATTTACAAATCAAATGTATTCACATGAAATGTTGATTCTAAGGCACTGCACATTCAACTAAAAGCCAACTATTTTTTTTCTTTTTTTAAACAGGGTATTTATGTCCTCCAAGACAATAAATTTCGTCTCTTGACACAAATGTCTGCAGGAAAGCAGTATTTAGAACATGCACCAAAGGTACCCTTCAATTTTATATGCGGGGTCTACCGGTTTGATTTGAATTTCCTTGATCTATTAATAATAACAACTTTAAATTTTGTAACTGAATGGATACAAACTCTTCAAAAGGGCAGCTAAAGATAAGTTTTCAGAACCTGTGTACTTTTTGGAAACGCACCTTGTTTTGGAACAGTGGATTTGATTTATGGTGCAAGAAACACTCATGGTTGTTGAGAAACTTGCTGCTATGTTTCAGTTATGTTGATGGTGGAAGCTTATCCGCCACTATCTGCTGCAGTTACACAAATTCTCTTTGGAAAGCATGTGCTTTCAGAAGCTTTTTTAAACTTACAAAACACATTTGGAAGATACTATTTGTTACTGAGAACAAGCTTCTGAGATGAGCTGATAGGAATGTTCAGAAAGATCTTCCACCAGTTAAGAACAGTTCTGAGTGCAGATGCTGAGTTAGGGTAATAGTTCATGTAAGTAAAATCAATGCCTCTGCAGAATCTATTATAGAGGACTTTGGTTCAGGTGGATGTAAGAAATAGAACATTCAGTCCATTTTATGGTTTCTTAATTCTTGATCATCTTATTGCTGGCTACTGTCCTTGGGATTTTTTTTTTTTAGTGTTTGGTGAGATGTTTCTTCTGTTTTGCAACATATATTTTAAGTATCTGCCGGCCTTTGTATTCTGCAATGTGGCCTGTGCCAAAATGCTCTCTTGCACTGTTCCTCCTTAATTGACTTTAATGCCACTTGCTAATTTCAACCAAGTCTTAGGAATATTGTTCTAAGGATATTAAATTCCTAAAGGTTTAATGGCATTAGAAACAAGTAACTCAGAATAGTGCCTCTAACAAGGGCAACCTGTGTTGTGAGCTCTGCTCTACCAAATACTGGAGCTTTTGTCCATTAGAGACCTGACAAGGTCTCTCAAGCACCAAACAAAACTTCCATAGCTTTCTATTGTCCAAGTCTTGTGCTTGAATACTTAGTTTCAATCTTTATCAATAAGCTTCAGCCTTTACCCTTATTTAAAGAGCAACTTTGTACTTAGTATTTAGCTTTTACCTGTGGACTAATCAGAGGAGGCCTATCGAATTTGGGAATAAAGAGTATTGTAACAGCTGAAGTTTCATCAATGCCTGCATGTAAGTAGTTCTTGGAGTATTCAATTACTAGTTCACTTTATAACTTTCCTGGCTGATTTCATCACTGTATAAGCATTTATCAAGGTGGGATTAGTTTGAAGCTGCTGGGCTATAGAAATCCATATGAACTTCAGGATATGGCTTTCCACTAAATGCTTTGGTATTTAGAAAATACTGACAGAGGATAAACCTCCATCATGTTGAGTGGAAAGCAAAACTAAAAGGTTGTATTTGCATTTGAAAGGATCAAATGCATAAGGATGTATGTCCAGAAAGCTATTTGAATAAGTGAAGATCTTTCTGTACAGGAGCCATTAAGAAAGTTAGTAAGTCAAGTCCTTTGTAACTACTGCTTGATTAAAAATTTTCCACAGACTGTGCACAAATTCTAAATTTGGCTGACCTAACTTCTGTGATGTGGGAATGGATCAACTTACAGGGAAGAAGAAAAGAAAAAAAAAGCTCTTCAGCTGGAGTTAAAATTTAAATGCTAAATTTAAATAATGGCACAATTGCTTACAATTGAACCGTAAGATTGGGATGTTCCTTACTATTTCTTTAAAAAAATTAATACAAGAAAATAGTTACTTGGAGAAATAACTCTAATGGTAATAATGTGATCTGACTTTGCTTTTTTTGCAGGTAAATTTCAGGTGATGATACAGAAGATGTAGAGTACATTCAAATCTGGGTATCAACCTTAAAAATCCTTTGTGTATGGATTCAGTATCTTGGCTCAGTCTTGTATATAACTTGTAAATTATAGCAGTATGCAGCACAATTCCAAAATATGTAATAAATATTCATTGAAATAACTTAACACTATCCTTGTGTCTTGGTATGAAATTTATTGTATTCCAAGGTATTAATGTCCATATGGTAAAAACTGTGTACTCACAAGTTTTCAGCAAAATATTTCAATTACCAAGAGAGCACATCTGGAAGACCAGAGGCACAGTTTGAGAACAGAGTAAAAGCCTGATCAAGATGAAATTGGAATAAGAAACTAATGTGTGTTGTGTCACCTAATGTGAATGCCCAACCGCTGTTTTTCCCTGTTCACTCTGAACTGTGAGGCAGCAGAGATTGCCTTTGTATTTCTCTTACGGAGCCAGTGTCGGAATGGGGCATGTGGCATGTAGGAATGTAGGTATGATGCAGCAGAAACAAGAACTTACTTCTCCATAGTTAAACAGTTTCTCCTACCTCCTTAAAATTAGCATCTTTTTTTTTTTGTGTCAGAATGATTTTACACCTAAGGTTATCTGTACTGGCCAAGAAGGAAATTTGTTCTAGCTTGTTGTACATAAACTTGATATTAATGTACTTGCTTTTAATTGCTAACTACGGATCACTTCTGTAATGAGTGTGTGCAGGAAGATGATTAGGCCTGAAAGAAGCTATAAAGACATCACCAAGACTCTTGAGGACACTGGAGTTTGCTAGATACTTGTTACAAGATTTGCATAACAATACATATCTTGCTGTAGGTAAGCATGAAAACATCTTGTTAAAACTTCTAATGAATTTTGCTGTAAGACTTTTCTGTTGGCAGGTTCAGGCCTTATACTTACTTTCAAATGCATCACAATAGAAACAGTGTTTATTCAGAAGCATGAGAATGCCTTGTGATAGTGATTCAGTTTCTGGTTTTGAGACCAGTAAATAACAGGCTAATTAGAAGAGGTCACATATTAAAATGACACCTTTGATACACAACTACCTTCCGTGTTGGGAGAAGTGTATGTTGTACAGTAGTATGGTGGGCAAGAACAGTGGAAACTGTTCTTTCGTAAGTTCTAGGAAAGGTCTGAAACTTATAATGGATCAAGCCTTTTCTAGAAAGCTGTCACAAGCTGACAAGCTAGAGACTATAAATATGATAACCAGGGGTTTATTATACTTCAGCTTAAGATGTGACCAAGTTCTGATATTTTCAGGTACTGTGAATGATAGTTCAGATTAGCTGTAGCTGAATAACTTAACAGTTCTTGGAAACAAAGAGAGCAGAAATTGAACCAGCAGAATGCTGTCCCATTTTTATAGAACTAGCAGAGGTGAAAGTAATTACGGTAGTATGGTACTCAGTGGGGATTTGCAGTTTGATTGAAAACACTGGGTTCTTATACTGGTAGTTTAGAGGAAGGTGGTGGTGGTTGTTCACCTTTATAACTCAGATTTGTTTGGAGTTGTAGGAGTGGAGAGTTAGCTAACTCGTATTCTTGCATTACCCAGGTTATTCAGTTGCCAACTCATTCTGCTTTCAACATGCTGAAAATGTTACTATAAAGAGATTAGAAATAATTTGCTCTATGTGCCTAATAGATGGACATTTCACTGTCATCATGTTTAGGCATCTGCAGTGGGGATTATTGTGGCATCATCATGGACAGAATCTGCTACTTGCATCTCCAGAATCTCTTACTTGCATCTCCAGAAATAACACTCTGGTAGTTATTGCAACTAATTTTGATTTTTCAATGACAGTTAAGACTACCATTCCAGATGCAAAAATGCCAATCATTCAAAGCCATTTTAACAATGTATCAATAACTGGTTATGGCTAATGATTATTTTTAATAGTGAGGGGAGGGACTTAATTTCCACAATACACAGGAAGCACATGTCATTTAATACTCTATATCAATTGGCTGCTATGAGCAGAATTCATAGTTCCTTTAAAATGGATTTTTAATTGCTGAAGACAATTATAATCAGAGGGAGTTATGTACATACCAAGCAGGTGCTGATCCTCTTGGCAAAGCACTCCACGTTAAATATATATGTAAATAAGTGAGCTAATGTATTTGTCAAGATAACCATACAGAAAATAAATTCTGTTAATAAATGCTTCTATTAAAAGCATTGAATACAGATGTGTAATTTTCACTGGTTTCTGCTACTGTTTACTAAAAATAGTATTACTACTCATGAAGTAGTAATATTTATATTTTACTAGAACAATTGTTTCAGTAACCTACTGGATATAGTTGAACTGCTTAGCAGTGCTTAAGCTCAGGCACCAAAACTTGAAAAAGTACCTAGCTGTGTAAATTTCTATAGTAAGGCTGCTGTTAAATAGTATAGACTGAGAAAAACCACAGTGTTTACGAACACTCCATAAAATCCTTTAATTTTATTAAAAAAAGTCCTCAGTAGGTCTGTTAGAAAAAGAACAATCATTTGTAATGTAACCTCAGACTTTACCTAATAGCAGTGTTCATAGGATTACTCAAATGGTAGAAATTTCTAACCAAGAATGTAGTTTACAAAGACAGGAGCTTGAGAGATGATGCCAGACAGTTCATTTACCATTTCACGATGATGGTGATGATGGTATCAGAGACGTTGACAATTTCATGCTAAAGTTCAGCTTAAGGTACTCATAGTTGTCCCAAATGTATTAGGGTGAGAGTATTCTGAAGGGATTGTATGGTACTTTGGGTCTGAACAGTGCAGTGTCTTGCTGTTAACTCTGATAATGCTGTTTGTACTATGGCAATGCAAAATACTGGATATTGTCAAAATGGCCTAGGAAGGCTCATCAGCCAGGTCACGTTGATCGAAGTACCTAGTGGAATAAAGTGGAATATGGTAAAACACCTCTAATGCAATGTACTCCATACTTTGAATTCTTACATCCCTTGCTTTCTAGCTCTTCTTTTAGTGTTTCTATCATAATTACAGCTCTGTGGTTCAGGTGGCTCATCTGAGGAAAGGAATAAGCTTACTTTATTCTTAGGTTTATCTTAAGTCCTTTTAGCTAAGTATATTTGCTATATCATTTTTAAAAGAATATAGGTTAGGACAAGTAATCACACCTTTATGGTGGACATATGTTACTGTTTTAGGTGTATTTATGCTGGACATACATTACTGTTTTAGGTGTATAAGTTGCATTACCTGCTAACTAAGCATATTATCAAGTTCAGAGCTGATATTTGTTCTTCATTCTTGTTCTCCTGAAAAAGAGGTAAATATTAGAATAGTTCTTTTGTTATCTGTGTCAAATAGAAAAGCTGTTACATGCCACGTTTTATGTATTTGTAGTCTTCCCTTCATTCTCAAGCAAACTTAGGACATGAAAAGTTAATTACTAAGACTTCAAGAATTGAAAAATAATCCTCTTAATCTGCTAAATTCACCAAGTCCTTTGCACAATGTTATATTAAATCTTACCTCCATTGCCCTGACTTCTGAACATCGTCTTGCCAGCTGTCGAATAAGGGAGTGAGCTTCAGGTAGCAAAGGTTTTTCTAGGCATGCCAACAGCGCATAAAGCCATCTACCCTGTGAGGATTCAAATAACAAAGTTTTAATTATAAGCATTTCCTTGAAGATTCAAGCTGTTATTGTTATACAGAGTAGGACTGGAGTGTAAGTCTCAAAACAAAATTGCATTTAAGTGCTACATGCTGTAATTGAATTTTGAAAGCCAAATTAGACACTACACGGTAGAGTTTTGTGCTTCTAGATAAGATTGTGAGGAGTACTCCTGGGTTTCCTGGTATTTTTTTGAATGCTGGCCAAAATACAAATTAATACAGCTTACAGTATTACCATCTGAGGGAAGGATTATTTTAGTAATATCTAAAGAGTATTACTTGGCTATTATTTTTTAACTTCACAATCTGCAGAAAAACATTCCTGAAGAGTGAATGTATTAAGTCAGATCTTTGTGGAATTAGTGGTTAGATCTGCTTGAAGATTTCTACCACTGTGAAAACATGTCCTTTGCATTTTACTTCATAGAATTCTAATGCATTCTTACAAACATAATTTCTGCTACCAGTCTAACTTTTTCATTTAATTACAGTGTCTAGTGGCTTTCATTGTAGGACTAAAGTAAAAGTCAATGTGCATATTCTCTGCAACACATTGCTTAAAAAGAAACAAGTGCTACAGAAAAGGACAGAACGTGAAAGGCTTTTTAGTGACTCAAAAATAGTGAAACTGTGTTTAGTATCATGTAAGTAATTTTTCATGACTCTCTTGCTTTGTGGTACTGGAGGAGATGAGATGCATTCACCAAGGTGTTCTGTAGATACAGTGCCATTACACAGCTGATCAGTCTAGGTGTGGCCAAAGTCTGTGCCAATGTACCCCGTCCATCAGGATTTCTTAGGTTTGGTTTATCACCACACTAATGCAGCTAAGCTTTCTGGTGTGTGCTGCACATGAAAACATTAAATGTGTTTTTGCCAGCACACTGTCATGCACTTCCAAACTAAAATGGAGGTGTTGGTAAATACAGTGTGCAGCACCCTGGCAGCTTAAACTGATCAGAACCAAAGCTGCTGCTCTCTGACCCTCTGCTCTCCCCAGCATCGATAATCGTCAAGCCTCATGGCTTAAGTTAGTTTGGGGAGTGATAAAAAGGGGAGGGGGTTTGGTAATACTTGTTAGGTCTGTATCTGGTATGTTTTGTAAGCAGCCTTCCAGCAAGTTCTGTGAATACTTATTTTAATATCTAACCAAGAAAGCTTTGAAAGTAACAATATGACACATCCATCTAAAAAACTCTTTAGAAATCAAAATAATTTAATAGAAAACTATAAACAATTTATGCTTTGTTTAACACATTCATGTGCAAGTAGTTAAATTAAAAATTACCAGTTCTGGAGTAAATTTTTTCTCTCCAAACCAACTTATCAGGTATTCTAAGACACTGGTTACTGTTGCCTTCAAAAGAGGAACAGAAAGAGACAATACTTGAAATGTTTAGTTTTGTTGTCCTTCTATCTGAAGGATTTTATTATAAAATATTTCTACTCCACTGTGATACTCCATGGTATTTATTCCATGTTGAAATTATATATAAGGGTAAAGTAAGTGTGTTAAGCACTACTTCCCGGAAAGAACTTCATATAAAATGAAGTAATTTTCAGTGTTAACAAAAAGTTATGGATAAATAGCTACAGATTAGGAAAGAGGCATCACGCTGACTAGTTGTTTCTGCATAAAGATGACTAGTGGGAAACGTAGTAAAGGAATGATAAATGTGACTCGTCTTGCAATGTATGTAAAAGTTCACAATCAAGTTGAAGGGCTGTACTTAAAACACCAAATGAGAAATCTTAAAACATTGTCAAGCACCTATTGGGGCATTCAGCAAAAATTCAAACACTAAATGTTCTACAGAGAAATTACAACAACAAAATACTCTTAAAACTAGTAATGAAAAATATTCCCTAGTAAAGTTATTTGTAGCTGAAGGTGAGATAATGATTACGTGTCTTCCTTCAAAGTGTACAATGAATAGAAGTTGTAATAAACAATTGCCTACTCTAGGCACAGAAAAATAGATAAGACTGCTGCAACCGTCAGAATCACATAGTAACATTGCCTACATCATTATTTCTCATATTTTACTAGGTAGGCTTACCTGATTCATCCTGCTTACAATACTTAGCAAAGGGGGAAAGCCCACCTGAAAAACATGAAGTTGGAAAATGCAAACATTATCATAAACATTTTTGTTTTAATTTGAAATGTACTAAGATTTTAAGGTGATGTTCAGACACTTCTAGTGATTGGAAAGTCTGTTCAGGGCTTTGAAATCTGTTAAAAAATCTTCAAGCAAGTTGAAGATAAGGTCTAGTCAAATTTGGTATCAGAGAACCTTGCTTTTACTGTTTTTTGTTAAAGTTTTGTTTTTTCAAAATGATGCAGTGAAGGGCATGTTTGTAGGATAACATGTATGAGGAGGGTAATCACATATCACTATGCAACAAACACTAAAGAAGACTATGCAGACTTTCCATTCAGATCAGCAAGCAACAAAGTAGTGCAGTTAAGCTGACAACAGATGAAGGAACTCTTCAGCTTTTTGACTGAAGAGATAAACTCGTTCTCTGCTTCACAGTTTCTGCTTAAAAGGAATGAAAAATGGGACTTTCTGCACTCACCAGAGAGCCTATTTTCTATTTAGCACAAGTGGTAGTAAACAGTAGGATTTTTTCTGGCAGTTAGTCTACAAAATAACAGCTGAAAACTACATATAAGTCCTATACTTACCTTCATGTAATCAATTCCTATATTTTCATTATCGGGTAGTGCATCTATTTCTGAGTGTATTCTTTCACCCAGGCAGAACTTCTTCCAGCCTTCTTCATCCTCTGATTTTGGCTGAAGTAAATAAAAATAAATGAAAACTCTGTAATACTGCTATCTTGAAGACACTGGAGAAAAGACTTGATAATATTCCTAAACTGTTGCATGAAACCATAAAAGCAAGATTAACCATGGATTTAATGAGTGGGAAAACAAACCACATGGCACTGTTACGAATTCTACTCACCATAATAACATTGCTGTCCAAATGTTGTGACCGCCAGTGATTTCTGTGCTTGTTCAGGCTCTGAGTAATTAAAACAAAGCCAAATCACAGCTTAACTCTGCAGTTATTTTATCCTAGCAATAAGTGCTCTTCATTACTCTTAAAATGTACGAAAAGTATGTTTTATGACTTTCTATAAATCAATAGATTTATAGGCAGCACAACTGGCCAAATATTTCTCATGCCTCTTAGCAGAAATGTAATTAAGGTGCTCGTACTGTGTTTTTGGAAGTAATGTTAAAGCTGAAGGAATTTTGAAGTCTACTGCATAAAGTTTAGCCGAGGTAATCAGCTTTAATATTCTTCTAGACTTCTCTTGGTATAACAAACTTAAGAAAAAATCCACTGATTTAATCCAAAACCACACATAAAGCCAATATCCTATTTCCAATAGTGGTCTGTATCTGCATCAAAGGTCTACAGAACAGTTTGAAAGAAGGCAAGTGTGCTACCTTAGCACATTTCTTCTAGCTGATGGGGATGCCACGTAAGACAAATTGGTCTGCTTGACAGTTTTCCTGTAGGGAGATGTAAACATTCTGTAACAGAAGAAATTTGTCTCCCAATCTAATTGTTATTGCAGCCATACAAAAGAACAGATAAAAATGCTGTAAGTAACAGCAGCTGAGGCAGTGTTTGAACAAGTGATTTCCAATGCTCTTTTTAGGTTTTAAAGACTTTTTAGGATAGTCTCACACTTCACAGTGTTAATTCTGGCACAGATGAGAAGACAATTGATTTGTGCATTAAAGAAATATCTATACAGTGAATATTCTTTTAGATGTCAGTTTCCTTAGTTCTCCTACAACCTTAGATTATGACTAATATACAGGATGCAATGTGATCCCTCATAGAAACAGGGGGTAGCTCAGTTGATGTTTAGATGCATCTCCACCTTCGCTGATTTTCCTCCCTGAAAAAAACATGGTACATGAGCTCACGCAGAGTTCAGTGCTACAGCAGCTTTGGCACAGCTGGTCATACCTCAGTACTTGAGGTATTCCTGCAGTGCAGCATCGATGCACTGCATGCTGTCCACCGTACTGGGGTAACAAATGATCTCTCCCTACATCTTTGTTATGTTTTCCATTTCACCCTGTTTGAACTGTACACAGAGAATAATGGAATCAGAGAGAGGTTTGGGTTGGAAGGGACATTCAAAGGCCATGTAGTCCAACCCCTCTGCCATAGGCAGGGACATCTTCAACTAGATCATGCTCAGAGCCCCATCCAACCTGACCTTTACTGTTTCCAGGGATGGGGCATCTACCACCTCTCTGGGCAACCTCTGCCAGTGTTTTACCACCCTCACTGTGAAAAAATTCTTCTTTATATCTAATCTAAATTGACCCTCCTTTAGTTTAGAACTGTAGCTTAGCTGAACTCAGAACCTTTACACTTTGAGAGTGCTTAATTTTCTAGTTTTGTTCTGTTATTTAAGAGCAGGGTGCAAACGTGTTAGAAAAGATTTAAGTCTGTGCTAACACTACAACCTTACAAATACATTTTACCAAATAAATATTTCTCCTCATAATAGGTGCCACACATCTGTTGGGTGTCAACAGATTGCTTAATGGAAAGTGTGTTCTACTTTATGAATGTCCTGGTGGGTTAGAATCCACTTGTTTTTTTCAGTTGAGTTCTGCAGAACATTTCCTGCTAGCACTAGGTTTTTAATATAACTGATCACATCATAGAGGTTTTTGTTCCTCCTCAACTACTCCATATCACTTAATCTAAATACTGACATATTTTTGCTGAAGTTGAAAAATTTTACCACAAAGTCATAATATTTCTATACTAGATGTAAAGTTGTCCCCCAGAAAGCACAGATATTCTATCTAGACTGTGCAAGACCCCTCACATACACTATTTTGTACCTGACGTACAGCTGAGAAATTGGCCACCTGCTGCTGCTGCCACCTGAGTGTTGGAGAGTATCCTTCAGGAGCAGGCTGACATCCGGAAATCTGAGAAAACACCGGCAATAATTATAATGTAAAGAGAGCTTTATAAGAAGAATCCTTAAGAACAAGAGAATGAGTGGATCTTTACTGTTAGGTAAACAATATCCTTTAAATCTTCACCTAAGGTAACTTCATGACCACATCCAAGACTGACTTAAGAGTTGCTTTAGACAAAATTTCTTCTGTCTGACTCTTCTCATATTTACACAGAAAGCAGAACTAAGTGTTCAAAATATATTGTCAATATTTAAGGTCTTTCTTTTAGCAATTATTCTGCCTTAATCTCCCTGTTTATAAAAATCAGGGTGCTGTTTCCTTACCTTGGACAGAAGCTATCAATCTTAGGCATTCTACTTGTCAAGATAATAAGTTCAGAAGACAGAAGATCACAAAAACATCTAGGAAATTAACTCTTACAATTAAGTAGATATAACCTTTTTAAAGATTAGCATGAAACAGTTATTAAAAAAATTAAAATCTTTCTACAAGTGTTTAAGAATTCCACTACAGACAGATGAAGAGAATGGTCACAGAAGTTACACGGTCATGTCAGCACCAGAAACTTCCCTTGAGCAATCTAGTAGTGAAATTTCAGATTACACAGAGAACAGCAAACTTGGTCTCTTGAACTATTTGAAAGCAGATTAAAGACCAAGCTGGCAGGCCAATGTAACAACAGAAAAATCTGCTTGGGCAGTAAGGAAAAATTCCAATAAAATATTAGTACCAATATGGAAAAAATGGTGGTAGAATTTTGTCTGACTTTAGTAAAGCTCAGCTGCACTTACTACCCTTACCCCAGATATAAATTTAAACCTTAAAATAGGTATGGAGAGATCTTTCTTCTAAAATTTATGCAGGTTAATTTAATTTTATGATTACATACTTGTAAAATTTAATGCAACATTTGATTTCCTCAGACAGTAAAATAGTCTGCTGTGTATCATATAGTACGGATATTATCAATTTAATCAGTTATAAAGACTGCTGTTAACCAGCAGTTGTACAGATGTTTTTTCGAATCCAGACATTTAATTCTTTAAATGCTTTTAAAATCCAGCACTGCTATTTAGTTATGCCGACTTCCCAAAATTAGTATAAACATCATATTAACATTGTTGCCCTTTATTTTTTCCCCTTTCAAAATGTGTAAAAGCTCTCAAACTTACTGAAATGTTTACTGTCTGCTTCTTTTTCAATTTTCTGGGGTCTATTTTTGCCACGACCACATCGGGACATCGTGCTGCTTCAATCCTACAAAATAAAATCAAGTGGCTGCATTTTTTCCATTCTGTAACAGGTGGATATATGCCGGATGTCTCTGAAATACTCCTATAGTCACGGAAAGCATGAGTTGGAAGGGACCCATCAGGATCATCGATTCCAACTCGTGGCCCCGCGCAGGGCACCTCAACAATCACACCATCTGCTTGAGAGCATTGTCCAAACACTTCTTGAGCTCTGTCAGGCTTGGTGTTGTGACCACTTCCCTGGGGACCCTGTTCCAGTGCCCAACCACCCTCTGGGTGAAGAATCTTTCCCTGATATCCAACAGAAACCTCCCCTGACTCAGCTTCATGCCGTTTCCTCGAGTCCTGTCACTGGTCACTAGAACGAGGAGACCGGTACCTGCCCCTCCTGCAGGTGTGTAAGACACGGATTTGCCGGCGAAAGGGCAGCACCGCTCGGCCGCCCCGGCGCGCCGCGACGCGCAGCTCGGCCCGGGCAGCACTGGGGCCGCGCCGCTCTAGCGGAGAGGTGACGGGTTCGCCCCGAACCATCCGCCCCGCCACTCACTGGACGCGCTTCAGATACTCTTGAGGTGTCCTGGGAGGCACCGTAGGGTCGAAGTCCTCGGCCAGGTCCCAGTCCCCCACGGGCAGCAGCCGCGGCATCAACTCCTCCACGCCCGGCTCCATGGCCGGTCAGCGCTGCTCTCGCGAGAGCGGCGGAGCGGGAGGGGCGGAGTCGCTCCGGTACCGGGAGCGCGGCTGGGGGGCGATGGGGCCCTCGGGGGGCGATGGTGTCCTCGGGGGGTGACGGGGCCCTCGGGGGGCGATGGTGTCCTCGGGGGGTGATGGTGCCTTCAGGGGGTTGTGGGGCCCTCGCGGAGCCCTCAGGGCGCCCCGGTAAGGCAGGCCTGGCGGTGCGCTTTGATGTGTCGCGACCTGCTCTGGCCGTTTCGGCTGCCCTGAAAACCCCGTGAGGGGAGTTTGGCCCAAGAGCAGAGCAGAAAGGGGTTGTGCCAATTTACTGCCCATCAAACCAGGCCAGTTGTCGGAAAATGTGGAATGTGTAAAATTTTTACATAGAAGAAGAAGGGAGATTGAATCCGTGAAACAGAGAGCAGCTAACAAGCTCTAAGCGATGCCCAGGTGTTAGAAAGACAAACTACTTGTTGGTAGAATTGCCTTTTTAAGGTTTAGGGCTGGACATGCTTCAAAGATCTCAGACCTAGGGGGAGGTTAACAGAGGCTGGGAAGAAGGATGTACCACTGATAGTGAACACAAAGAATGCAGAATTTGTGGGCCACAAGGACATTTGATAGAACTCCCAAGATAAGGAAGAAACTAATAAAGCCAGCTCAGCCACTGTGCTGATCCAGCTCCAATTGGGTTAAAGGTAATTCTGGCAGGGGCAGATCGTGACCACCAACTCAAAAAATCCTCTAACCCAAGAGAAGAGAAAGACTGAGCATGCAGACTAATGAGCAGTGAATCATTAACATATAGAATGCTAATTAATAAGAGTTCTAGGTACCTTGTAGCAAATGAATATTAATGCCTTTGTTTGCTTAAATGTATAAATAGTGAAAAGTTTTGGTAGCTATGTTGCTGGCTTTGTAAATTTACCACCTAGCAAATTCTTCTCTCAGTGCAGAACTGTAAATAAATACCTCAACTCTGTGTGTGGATTGGCCTCTTGCACACCTGGTGAAAGGACCTATTTTGGGACAACACTATTTTTGATGAATATGTGTAAACCTTTAATAATCACTTTCATAAGGCCCTATGCCATTATTCTAATGCACTGTAGTTTTTACAAGTGACTCTTTAGTAAAAACTCACCCATTAGTATTTTCTATTTTACCTGTGAACATCCAGTAATAATAATACTTGTCCCTTCTTTGCAATACTTAGAGATCTGTGGTTGAAATCAGTCACATAAAATTAATTGCTATAAATTTACACAGAGTTCTCATTCTGGAAGGGTCAGTGTGTGAATTGTTCCTGTACGCATTTATCTAAAGACTATTATGTGGGAGCACCTCCATGCCAGAAAGCAAGGTAGCACATAATGGGATTGCTTCTCAGCTCAGATAAAAAGAAGAAGGATGATGCTGTAATAATTTACATTGTGTATTATGAAATTCCTGTTACACAAAATGTCAATCTAGATATGATCTTTCCTATTAGTTCTGCATGTGAAGTCATTTTGGTGCTACGCACAGTCCATCTAGTAGATCAGAGTAGTTCTAGATATTTGTGACATGAGTTCAAAAAAAAGGAATGCCCTTTTTTTTTTCCCCCTGCAAGGCTGTGTTTTAGCTGTTCTACTCGAACACCTACCTTAACTCCTCCTCTCCCAGGGCTTTTGTTTGTTTTAAGGTGTTTCCAAAACCACCTACGTGTACCAGTGAGTTTTAATTCTGAAACCCGGATCTAAGGTCCTAGTTGAGTGTGCAACAGTTGCAGTCACCACTAGAAATAAAACTTGCTTAGCTAAAACTACAGTGATAACGCTGGGCAGGCTGACTGATGATCAAGACAAAAGCTTTGGTGAGTCCAGCTATAAAAAGTTCATTTCTAATACTTTGTAATATTCAGAACTTATTTTTCCTATTTCTTGTAAAGTCAAGAACTATGAACAGAAAGAGAATCCACAGATATAAATATTCTTTAAATATACTTTCTGTCTTTGGATTACTTTTTCTGGAATTTTCCATTGATACTTTTTAAACAAAGTAACAGATTTTTAATTATTACAGGTAGTCTTCCACAGGTAATAAAATTGTTCCTAACAAGTTTTACCAACAATGCTGATGCAATGGCAAGCAAATATGACTCCGTGGAGAAAGAGGAAAAGGAAACTCCTCAACTGCATAGGTATTATGGAAGAGTACTTTTCCAAAGAAAGGGTAAGCTGCATTAGTGGATATGCACTGCTGGCTAAAAAAAATTAAGAATCTAACATGTAAACTAAAAATTCTGAATTAAGAAAAATTAAATGCTTTCAATCTACCTTCTAATACTAGGAGCTAATGAAATATTTTCCTACAGTGAGTATATAACTATTTTCTGTTCTATTTTTTTCTTTCTCCTTGATTTTCTCTGTGGTTTGCACCATCATAACAGCTGCAAGACTTTTCTTGAAATTTAGAGCATTGGATTGAGTTATCATGTAATGAAATTTAATTGTACTGATGATTGGTTAACAATACTGTATATCTTTTATTCGTAGTGAATTTTCAGAGTAGTATACTCTCTTATTTTCCCTTCTTCTTTACGTGTCTTAAAATATCAGTTGCTTCTTTTTTCTCTAGTGGTTTACTGTTCATCCCGCAGTTTTGATTTTGGGACTTGCCTCTTTTTAATGTAACTTTCTGAAAATGTTTCACAAAGTATTTGAGTACTTTGAAATTATAACACTGAATTGTTTTCTGTGCATGTGCTTGAAGTTCACTCTGTTGTGGGTTTTTGGGTTTGGATTTTTTTTTTTTTTTGGTGTTCAGACTGAGGCTACGTGTCCTTGGCAAGCTCCTGCTTAATATTCCCCCAACTGGCAGTGAGATTTGGGGATGAGAAAATTTAAAACCCTTCCTTAAAGTTCTGCTTTTGTTTACATGCTCATGTTTTTAGACTGAAGAGGACTGGCAAACTATACTGGAGATAATAATGACATAGAAATTCTATCATAATGACATCTGACATGTAAGAAAAGACAATAAGGATGTTTTACTCATTTATATTTGTTTGGAGGTCATAGCATGGTTTTCCGAGTTGCAAGAAAGCAGGACGGGGTAGTCAGTCAGCAGAATGTTTTTCAGTCCTCCCCCATGTCCGGATCGGTTGCAATGAGATATCTCAGGAAAGACAGAAGTTGCCTTTCTAGCCTTTTGCGGCAGGCTCGTTAAAATGATTCCTGAAACCGAAGCGTCACTATTACTTGGGTTTGGGGGATAAAAAGATAACCACACTAATAAAAAACCCAAACAAACCCCTACAGTTGTGTTTATGTGAAAGTTATTGTGCAGATAGTAAATAAACACGTATTTATAAATATTTCTAAATATGAGGTATTGTTTCAGGCTAAAAACCAGCAGGAATATAATTTCAGTATATTTTTCCCCCAGGAGCGCCGAAGAAACATGTAAACAATCTTCCAAATTAAAAAGTTGCCATAAGTACACCTAGTGGAAGGTGGGCAACGAGCAGGATGAGCTCAAGGACTCCCGGAAACCCGGCTGGCTCAGTCCAGAGGAATTCTCTGACGGACAGAGTAGCTGCGGACAGAGCAGCGCATCCGGCACCTGCGAGCACAGGTGCAGCCCCAGCGCTGCCGGAGGGTAGAGGAAGCGAAACTGCCTCCGATAGCCGGGATGCCTCCTTTCCTGAACGGGTTGCGGACGGAGTCGGAGGCCCGCAGGGCCCCGGCGTGGTGTCCCGGGGCGGGGGGCGGCGGCGCTGAGCCCGCCCCTCGCTCTGCCCCTTGACGTGGCGCGGACTCTCCCATCAGCCATGTTGATGCGTCGGCAGCGCCGGGGCGGCTGCGAGCGGGCGGGCGGCGAGAGCGGCTACGGAGAGAGCGGCGCGCCGGGCCGGGACGCGGGGTAAGCGGGCAGGGCAGGGCTGAGGGGGCAGCGCAGGGTGCGGGGAGCCGAGCGGGCCGAGCTGGGGTGCCGGGGGGAGGACAGTCTTCGCCGGCGCCGTGGCGGCAGCGCGCTCCCGCGCTGCGGGGTTCGGGTGCACCGGCCTGGCTGCCCGGGTCCGGAGCGAGTGTGGTGGGAGCTCCCCACCGTGGCAGTGGGGATCCCCGGGCGGCCCTGCGCTGCTCTCGGGGCCCCCGGTTGCCCTGAGGGACGCCGGGGTACCCGCGCGGTCAGCTCTGCCCGCGGCCTCCCGGGGCAGGGTGCGGCGTTCCCGTGCGGGCCGGGGGCGTGCGCTCGACCCGCGAGAAGCGCCGTGCTCGGCCGGGGCTGCCGGAGCTCGGGTACGGCCGGCGGGCTACGGCCTTTTGCCGGCCGTCGCTGCGCCCGGGGTAAAGGGCGGCTCGCTCCGGCAGCGGCTGCGGCGCTCCTGTGCCCAAGCTCTGCTGTACCCGCGTCGTTGTGCCGCTGGCAGGGGTGCCTTGAGCTATAGGTAAAGCTATACAAAATGCAGGCCCTGCTGCTTTTGAATATGTGTTTCTCTTCTAATTTAGGCGGGTTATCACATACCTTGGTTATTAAAAAACAAAGAAAGGCCTCAGTAACAGGACTGGGAGAGCACGTTTGGAGGATGACTGTGTTTCAGTAGTGAAAATGTTGTCAATTTGTCAACTTGCAGTTGCTTTAGATAACTACTTAGCCATTCTCCTCGTGCATTCGAGTTCCTACTTGAAACTGAAATAGATCTGTATCTGATGCGCGATTTGGGCATAAAGAAATTGTTACCAGATTGTTAGTGCATAATAAACTGAAAGTAGGTGTTTTGTGAGAAAAGTGCGCAGTGAACTGTTACTGATCTAGTTGTATTTAAACACACGGTCATATGAGGGACTCTGGTCCGTCTGTGCTGAACTCTTACAATGCCGTAAAGAGAAATGTTTTGATTTTGTTTGTATGTGCTTCTGAGGATTAATGGATATTGTTGTGGGGATCTTCTGTATTGGGACAGATTTACCCGGGATGTATAAATGATTAAAGGTGCTAAAAGTCAACCAGTGACTCTCTGTGCAATTGAAGCGTGGCTTCTTT